TCAACAAGAATATTAAATTGAAGAATATTAAATCGTTCAATTATGCTGAACACCACTTATATTTTATACATTGATTATTACACAGGAGACTAATTACATTTTTCCACTTTTTTTGTGGTAAATCCCAGATCAGCAAAGTAGAGTTTCAGTTTATAGAGCCACCTTCAGTTTTCAGATGTATCTGAAAGTAGACATGCACTTTATCTGAGCCTACTAGAGCCACTTTCTAGTTAAAGGTCTGCAATTCTCTGTTTTCTAAACAAAGCAATGCATTTCCTACCTCACCAACAGAGCTCAAGGTTGTGTTTAATCTGTTAGGCCTTTTAGAGAAAAAGCAAGCAAATTTTTCTCCTTATAATTAGGGTAAAGCATGTTTAGTATTTCTTGAATATCATTTCTAATTCTTTACGTTTGCTTATATACAGGCTCGGTTGGATAATTTCTAGAAAAAAAGGCTTTGGGGAAAAAAAACAGTTTTGAAAACACTGATTTTCATCAAATTCCCATTTGGGTAAAGAGCCACGTGACATAGAAGATTCTCCTTGCCCTCTTCATTTAGGAATGCCAACAACAATGTCTAATAATTTTTTGCATCTTTTAATATAAATTATATTTTAACTAATATCCACTGATAGCAGCATTGAATTAACTTCCTTCAAAGGGGATAGCATTTTTTTTTTTTTTTTAAGCAATGAGGACATGCCTGTTTACACTGTAATAAAACTGGTGTGACACTATTGTCTTGTTCCTTTGCTCAAGACAGTCGTAAGAAGAGAAACATTGCAAATCAAGGCAATTTAAGCAGAGATAAACAAGGCCATCCAAATTTTACAAGCTTCTGTCATGCACAACACCTACAGCACTGTAAGCAAACATGGAAGATTTTGATGAACATCTGTGTTGGCCCTAAATCAATGCCCAAAACAAGTTTTGCCCAAAAGTTTACTTGGACTGGAAGAGCTTCACAGCAAGCTCAAAAGGACAGAAGGGACAACAGTTACGCAGAGCCCTGAAAAGCAACTTTCCTGCTCAGCTAGATTGACTTGGAGCAGACCACGAGGGTTAAAAAGAGAAAAAGAAAGATGCATACGTCTACACTATTGGAAGAGTGGCCCACACAGGTAGGTAGGGCCAGCTGGTCCCGCAACAACACTAACTGGCCAGGCCACACAGCCACCAAACACAACGCCGCTAGACTACACTGCCCGCAACAGCCGAGTGGGTAGGCAAACTTGGATAGCATCTAGGTGGAATCAAGAGACAAACTCTCCTATTATACTTGGGCAAAAAATGTACGGAAGAAAATATTTTTTAAAACAGGCAGAAAGGGGGAGGTGAGAAGAAAGGGTCACCCTGCTCCATTTCACACTGGTATCCATGAGAAAGCAATTGGACCAGCAAACTGCCACTTTAGTGGGTTGCGATGCCTTCCTGGATCACTTCTAGGGTCACACTGAGGCTCCCATGCTTCAACTCTAAACTATCACATACCTCAAGTACCCACAGCCCAGTGCTGCTCCTAGAACCTGCCCTGGGAGTGCAGCCCTCAAAGTCTGCCTATCCTAAGATGATGGGAAGCCATTGGGATGTTCATCATCCCATGATGTCGTATAGAGACATCAGTGATACCGAATCTAGGCAACTGTTTTTTTCATTAAATTACTTTTTCATTAAACAGCCCCTCCTATGGAGGGGGTAGGGAAGGGCAGTCGAATACAACAGCTGCACCAGACTGAATGTGGTTTCTTCCAGTGTAACAAGAGACGGGAATATTCTCAAGCCTGGCTTCTGCTTGGGTGAGAACCATTATACCAGAGACAGGAATCAAGGAACCTGTCTGAACACTTTAGTAGTAGGATTTTGGCCGCAGAAGCCAAGTGAGTGAAAAGAGGCCCCACTGTTGCTGCTGAGCTGACAGACAAAAATATAAATCAATGAAAATTAACAAACAAAAGAGCTTGTAGAGTTCTGTGGCGTTCCCATGTACTATTTATAGTTACAGAATCTTACCCTTCACAGAAAACCCTCCCCACCCCAAAGGAATTTTTATCTGGACTGCTGTGAAGCCAAGCTGGTGCAGGTTTGTCACCCAGGACCTGCTTGAAAACGTTTCCTTACTTGTGCAAGCGTGACTGCAAGTACACAATCCGATATGCCGAAAAGGAACTAAACACAGATTACTTACCTTACATATAAATCTGCATGGTATTTCTTTCCATTTAGAACTCCCAGTAATGTTGGATTCTCATTATTTCTAAAATTGAGGGTCGAATCATAGACTGCCGAAACTGCAAGAAGAAAAACGGGATATGTGATTACCATTCTAAAAGCAGTATTTTAACATTATTACGGTCCTTTCGGTGAATGCAACTAAAATGAGTCTTTGCTAAAACACCAAAGGAATAGAATGGAAAGTAAGTCTGTCTCTCTCAGACAAGGAGCATATTTAAATATGAATTCATCAGCAATAGCGCCATACTTTCAGCTGTCACCACGGTAGGGATGACAATGGGACATTCAACAAGCAGGCTGCAAGAAGCCAAATATCCAGTGACCCTTTCAGGGACTACACCAGCAGAATTAAAAAGTTTGTTCTCCATCTTTTTCTCCTTCCCCCATCAGGTGCAGGATGCTGGCGGTAGGGAATACATAGTTGAAGTGACTGCCAGTTAAGTGACAATCCAGAGAATACCCTGGAAGCTGAATGACTGAAAAACTATTAGCTTGCTCAACTCACTGTGATGGGACAAAGGCCAAAGCCCCCAGAAGAAATGAGCAAATAAGCAGGCAGAGAAACACTTACAAAAACAATGAACAATACTTACAGTTTGATTAGGGACGGGTGAAGTTTGTGAGCTACATCCTACAGCAAGAGGGTTTAATGCAACTATGAATTGCTGAGGTTCAACCCCCTCTATGCATGTTATTGGATAACTGATGCAGTTGCTACAGGGCAAAGAGAAACAGGATAACAGACTGTGACCTGTGCAAGATGGCTACTGCTATGAAGATACCCAACCACAGTGAGTGTAACTACCACCTGTGTACCACCAAACTAAAGCGTACTCAAACTTTCAGCTTTGGGAGAATGCTGTTTCTGCAGTTCTGGACTGTGTGGTAACAGTAAAAGCATATGCAAAAGTCATTCTTCGTTTACTTCAGACAGCACCAAAATACAGTTTCTAGAGAAAAATACTCACTGTTTTAACCAAAGCGCTTCAAAATAAACATTCTTTGAATGTAGACTCTGAACAAGCTTACATGTTATCTTCTTTATTACCAACATAGCCTTAGAGGCATCGTTTTCCTGATGTGTCACAAAACTAGCAGAGATCAATTTTCCTGGCACTGGCACTGACTGCGTGTGCACCATGGTACGAATTCTAGCATCAATGACAGCAACAACAGAAGTGACTGCATGCGCTTCATCTGTAGCTTGCTGTACTTTAGTTTCTTGCTTCGAGTTTTGCAACAACAAACATTGTGGGGAACTTTTTATTGTAAAAGCTCTTGACCCACCTAGGAAAGCCTTCTATTATGTCGGATAGATTTAGTTTTATTTTTGAAGTCTCTCTAGCTTTGTGAGATAAATATAGCTTAGTCACAACAGTCAGCCCAGCAGAAATTCACCACAAGGTTTGTTATTGCAAAACAGAATTCATAGCACAAAACAGAATAGCCCAGCTTTGGCGCTGCAAGGAAGTCTTGAAAACAGAGACCAAAACCATGTCCCTATGTACAGACTACCTACTTTGAATGACTGTATCCCTCAACATTAAGTCTGCTTCTCAACTCTCCTCAGCAGCAGACTTTTAGCCCAAACTCGTGAACTACAGAACAGAAGCCAAAATCTACCTCAAGCACAGTACTTCTGTCACTGTACAATAGAAGTAGAAAATTACTTTTTTGTTTTATATATTATCTACCTCTGCCTTAAAATTTCTTAGTGCAAAAGGATTTTACTAATCCAGGTAGTGTAACTTTAAGAAGGCAAGAGCTCAACTCTGTTTGCTCAAGGGGAGCTTATTAGATTTTTTGTTAGTAACACGAGACTACTCTAACAACAACACGGAAACCGTAAAGCAAAGTATGATTTAAATTACATTCACCCTTTTCTTCCTTTAGGAGAGGCCTGTATTTGAGTTTTGATATGGACTGGGTTCTTGTTCATATGCATTAGAATACAGTTCTCTCGTTCTGAAAAAAATTCTGTAGTGTTGGCGTGTTCGGAACATCTCTATATGCTGACAGGTCATACACACAATATTTTTCTTTCACTACAGAGGAAAAAAAAAAAAAATCCTCCATTCCAGGTCATAACTGATCAGTTGATAAATCAGTTTGATATTCAGTCCTGCAGGAATTCTTTTTAATATCGCACTGAAATCTTCTAGTTGCAAAGCAATGCCAAATCTAAGACAATGATCATGTATGCAGGAGTAAAGAGACTTCTATCATACCTGGAAATAAAGTAACTGACGGCTTTTTACAGTTTTTCCATTTTGAAAGTGCAGAAAAAGAACACCTGTAGAAGAATCAAGACAGACTGCACAGGATTAAAATTTGCCAGAAAGTTTCCACAACCAAAGCAGCACTAGTATGCTCTGTTACACACTGATACTGTTTTTCACTAAATTAATACCTTAAAATTGCATATTTAGAACAGTACAAGAAGCAGATTTCTCATCCAAGAGCTTAGGAGTCCAGAAATCTCTCATTCTAAATCAAGCAAAAAATAAAATAAAATTAAATTAAAAAAAAAGAAAGCATCTTGAAAACATTCCAACTGTCTTATCTTCAGACTAGTTTAGGCAATGTTTCAGAAGTTTTGCTTTAATTCTGAAATGACATACATTTCCTCAAAGAAATTATCTTAAAACATAATCTTTTTCATTAAAAAATAAAGCCAATTCAACAATTTCAAGCCTTTTCAGAGGCTCAAAGCAGACCACAACTCAAAACAAATTTCTTCAGCTGAACTGCTATTTTCTGACAAAAGTGGTTAGGTTTTCTGTCTTATTTTCAAATCTCTGAGCATCTCCCTTTTATATCTTTAGCTTTTGCATCCCTTTACAGCATTACAGCAGAGAACTACACACTCTAGTAGACTTAAGAAATCTTTGGACTATATATTTAGAAAGTATTTTTCTTACATTTTTAACTGGTCGCTTGAATTTCACACATTATTTTTATGGATATGGTGGGTAATGCCAGAATGAATGACAAATTAACCTAAAAGCAGTGAGAATGGCAACACGCAGCTTCCCATTAGCATAGTGATCTGAAGTGAAGACACAGGGAAGGAACAAGCGGAGAAGGTGGAATTCACTGCACTGCTGGTATGACAGCCATCTCAGCCACAATCCTTTGACTTGTTTAACATTTCCTTGCTCCCATAAAGGCAAAGTCATCCTGGTCAGAAATATTCATCCACTCAACCTTGGAAGCTTGCGCAGAGAGGATCAGGAACTCCTAGTAAGCACTGAAGAAATTCGCAAGCAAAGGGCAGCTCATGAAAATAAGAAAGTCGCTGAAAACCCCTCAAACACTGTCATATTGAACTCCATGAGAACATCACCCTGGAATTTATTCTTATGTTTTGCCTCTAGTACAGTAGTTCCCAGTATACACAATTGGAAGAAGGTGACAACTTGGAACTATCTGCAATGAGTCATGAGGCACATCTTTAAATACAATCTTAACTAAACAACTGAAAGGAACTGCCTGATGCATAGACAGGCAGCAAAAGTAACTTACATAAATCCTTTACAATATTTATGGCATTTATTTTTCACTCTAAGTAATGGATTAAGTGTTTTAGGGAAAAAATAATAATCTGTATTTTCATTCGCTTCTATGAAGAACAGTACAGGTAGCAAGGTCTCCAACACAACCCAAGAGTAATTTACTAAGACAGCCCATGACTTCTAGAAATGAAATTCCCTGTACTTCCGGACTAGGAGAGATGGCCACTGACACAAATATCAGGACAAGTTCAAAAAATACTAAAAACACTCCTATAAGAAGCAGAATGTGCATGAAAAGTTCTGGATTTGTGACAGGAAGTCATTAAGAAAAAAACCAACCATTTCATGGAAAAAAACACCATTTTCATTTATGAAGGCAGCAGACTAAATGAAATCACGGAGGATATTTTAGGGGCAGAGTTCCTCTCTGATGGATCATTAGGACAAGATTTTTTGAATCATACTTGCAGCCAGGGTAGTGCCGACCTCTTCAGACTATGGAACCTCTACAGAGGCACCACTTGTGGAGATATCCTTGGGGTTATAAAAAACATTGCGCTTTCTTAGAGTTGAATGGAAGAAAAAAAACCAAAAAACACACGCATCAGAGGTTTTGGCAGTCTAATGATAGACTACCACAGAGTAAAACTGTGTTCACTCATAATCAGATCTATAAACCTATCTGCATTTAACTGGGAAGAGGGGAAAGGAAATAGAGTTAAGAGAAACGTTTCTTTATTTGTTATTTGTGTGAAAGACCTATCTGTCCAAATATATCTGCTTATACCCACAGATATGATACCACTGGGTATGGAGATAGTTCTGCATGCACGCATCTTCCTACCACATTAAATAAACTGCATTTGAAGCCATTTTTTCAAGACAGTGGAATCTGCGAGACTCGTTTCACCTATGCCCGTCTCCAACAAACACAGAACTACCGCACTGGTTAGTACTGGGAGTTGAGATAAAGCTTCAGAAAGGACCACCTTGCTACCATCATTGCTACTGTCACAGAGCAGCAGATCTGCTTGTGAGTGAACTGCCTCTACTGCCACCAGAACTAGCATCCATCCATCCTACAGAGCGGAGCCCCAGACAGCTGGAAGCACACTGCTGTCAGAAAGGAGGAAGGAAGAAGAGAGTTAAAGGAAACTCTGACCTCGGCCACATCCAGCTTGGAACTGGATCCAAACATTTGGCTTGCCTTCACTGCTATGTCATGCTGTAGCTAGCTCCATTAGCAAGGCACTCCAGCCAGGCCAACTGCCCCTTGCAAAAAAGCAGAAAGTGTATTAGCCTAAGTGGTAGGCCCCAAAATGGGCTCAGGTAGCTCAGTGCCATGGCTTTTAGAGGTGTGCAGGAATCCCCTACTACCTATTTCCTGCTCACTGAAATGGAGGTGAATTGTACTGCAAGAGAGACAGGTAAGCCTACAAGAGTCATTCTTGTAGATCATTAAGAGAAGCAGTCACTAAACTGAAGCTCTGAACATCCACACATCACCATTGCTTTTTCTGCAGAAGTACAGCAGCAGCCACACTGATGCTCTTTGGATTAAGTAATTTGACACGTCAATATAAATAAGGGATACAGTCAATTGCTGGGCCACATTAGGAAGTGCAGCATAATGGTGAGACTCAGGGCATATACAGTGAACAAGCCAAATCATATGTATTTACTAGTATGAATATTTAAAAGAAAACAAAAAAAAATTCCCAAATTACTACCAAATAGACCCCTCTGCATATATGCAACATGTCATTGCTTATAATTTGGGCACCAATTATTAGTGCAGGTTAAGAGAGAGAAGTGGTCAAATCCTATTGGCACTCACGTAAAAAGGGAATAATTTCTAGAAAGAATTGACATTTTTTACGGGTTCTGTCAAAGCAGGCTTCCATCATATTCTCTATTAAAAAAAACATTTCATGTTTTTTTGAAAACATGGGCTTTTTTTTTTTTTTTTAATGAAAACATGGGCTTTCTTGTCACTACAAAGGCCTTTCAAACGCTCGTTTTACTCATACCCCTTCTCTCCAGAGGAGAGATTCGAATAGTAACTCAAGACAGTAACTTTTTATACTTTTTCCTATTGCAAAAAGTGGCAAGGCATGTAGAGCAACGCATCCACAGGAATTTGCAGCTGACACCTATCTGTGATCATCTGTCAAACAAGACAGTTTTCCTCAGAGGTTTGTTGGCTGGATTTTTAAGCTATTCAGTTCCCAGCAAGTATCTATGAAAAGCTATGACCTTCTGTGCTTGTCATTGAACCCTAGCATGGAAATTTCTCATAGCCTTACCTTGTTTGATCTAGCAAGTAACTGCTTCTGGATTGAGGTAGTAACACATTCTTTCCTAAGTACATAAGCAATTTAGGAAGCTAAGCCTTCTTTTTCTGAAAGTGATTCAGATATTCAGGATCCTAAAAAGCGCTGCTGTAGTGAAGCTCATGAATGCAAAAATTGTTCATAAATGGAGCTTGGAATCCCCCAAATTGTTCATTTCCTTTTGAAGCATTTCCTCACAAATTAATTACTTGTCCACAATCATACTATGTTCTGTTTGCTTTACACAGAATAACAGCAAAAGCAAAACCACGATCAGCAAAACCACCACCAGCCCCAAACTCTCAGCTCAGGGCGCTGGAGGTCAGAGCGCTCTGACTCAGCTCTTTCTCAGTGCCTCAGGTCAGTCTCCCCTCCTCCTCGGCAAAACAGTCCCGCTTTTTCAAAACGGGAAGGTTCAATTGTGCCTTTGAGGGAGCTGCTGGATGTTGCACATAACTTCCCTCTTCATATAACAGAAGAGATCCAAGCTATGCTATCCATTTTAGGGGAGGCAATTTGTCAATGCCTGACAAGGTACAACGTTGATATCATCTACCTGACTTGCAAGAGGATATGGAGAATTAGAGAGGCATGACAGACAGCAAGGCAGCTGGCTGCAGAACTTTTTTGTACTGCAGTTATCCCAGATATGCCAGACGAAAATATACCTTCAAAGGTAAAAGGAGTTTTGACATCAACTTCAGTGGAGCTAGAACACCTTCTTCTTTATCTTCCTTACATATCAGCCTTCTAATAGTACACAAATCCACCAAACCCAATAAGTACTGTAGGACTACAGCTACTTAGCACTATCTACTGTAGGACTACAGCTACTTAGCACTATCTACTGTAGGACTACGGCTACTTAGCACTATCTGTCTTTCCTTTGTCCAGAAAAGGAAAGAAGACACAGTGGAAGACTCTGCTGGATTGTATTAGTTATAAAGAAACACACTTTAAAGGCAAGGGGAAATGTGTGCACCATATTCTTACTGATCATATTCTAAAAATGGTAAATTCAACTGAAGTAACTGGGGGGAGATGGGGAGAAGGGAGAGACGGGGAAAAGAGAAAAACATTAACATTAATCAAAAGTTACTCAGGTTCTGCAACATGGAAAAAAGTTTACCGACAAACCTCTCCTATGTATACATTCAGGAGAGGTCTGTCTCCCTCCTCCCAGGTCCACAAAGGTTACTAAGAAATTCTAAAGTGTTAACATTTTTAAAGAAATTTAAAGCAGAACATCTTTTGACACAAATGTGGCATTACTGGATACAAGTATTTACCTGAAGAAAATATTTAAGACAGACGGTCTTAGTTTCTCTGAAGCGATGCATTTTATTTAACTTGGAATAGGATTTCTCAGTCGTACAGTAAATACTAGCCTTTGGGAGTCTCATTCCTCTAGCTGAATCAGTAGGTATGGATGGAAGCTCCAGTTTAGGATCCCTCAATACAGATTCACAGTAACAGAAAACAAAGCAAAAAAAATTTAACCAAATTGTCCCGAGATTTTGCTAGCCAAACACAATCTTTTAGTTTTGGCAAACTACTGGAAGAAAGATCAAAAGAGCTCCAGGGCCTTTTTTTGCTAGGACACATGCTACAAGGAAAAGAAGAGCAGGGCAAAGTGATGGCTGTTAACCGAAATAACCATTTAATGTTTGTTCCTTGTGACTTTCCTTACCTACATTTCTCAAACACTGCACGGTGACAGCAAATCCTTTTGTTCGTGGCAGTAGGTGATACTTGAGCTTGGGCAGGCCTTTGGCTTCAGCTACCTGCATGCTAATCTGGTGCTTCTGTTCTGTGAACCTTGTACCCTCGCAGTGAATCAGGAACTGAAAGCCAGAGAGGACTACCGTTAGAAAATAGATCAAGATGCAGACCCTTGACCAGAGCCTTCCCTAACTCACACCAACACAGCTCAAATGAGAATTGCTAGTAGGGAAAGGTGCAGCCTGATGTGCATCTGAGTAATTTAATTGCCTGGAGCTAAAAGCAAACAAACAAGCTGCACTGCCCCCCTCCCCCACCAAAATCTTTTAATGATGGCAAGATGGCAAGGTCCTCCAGTGGCACTGTAACTAAAGCTTGGTTAGTGTCTGAGACAAACACTTCTAGCAAATGCTTCAGTGCCCACCTCGCTTCCCCCCCCCACCCCCAACTCTAACCACCTCTCTCTCATGTCACAGCAGACAGTGTCTCGGATGCCAGTGACTGAGCTGATAACAGATGCAGGCCAGGAGACGCAGGACAACTGAAACAGCTCCCTCCCCATATGAATTATATAGCAGAACTGCTCAGACATGAGCAATTACAGTTTTGCCACTGGCAAGGCATGGGAGAACAGACAGATCTTTGGCAATTTACCACTTGCTTGGTTGCTTTCTGCTAAGCCTGAACACAGACTAACGGGGAACACTGTGGAGTAGCACAAGCAAAGTCCCAACAACCCACAGCTCCAATTTAGCCCACAAAAACTGAGAGAGATGGAAGAAAGCTAGCCAGGCAGCCAGCTTCAGTTCCAGCCCATCTCAGAATGCTTTTACTGGTGTATCGCATACTGTTAAACAGCTTGATGAAACATACAGAAACTGGTAAGAAAATCCTTCTGGCTCCCCTGGCACGCTCTGCCTTTCTACACACAAGGTGCTATTGCTATCTCTTTTGACACGAGGTCACCACACAGAAATGCAAGTTAAAACCCCACACTGAATTAATCTCAGCTGTACACCAACAGTTTTATCTCTGTTACTATCAGGTATAACACCTTCTTAGTAAACCCTCTAGGGCAATACATAAAGGAAGGCGGTGATCTGCGCTCACAAATTAGTGCTGAACTCTGTAGGTTAACAAAAGGCGTCAGACCCCTTTTAAAAGTCACAGAGCACAGGCAAATCCATACCAGGGAGAAGGGAACTAGAAACAAAAGGCGGTTTCCTCTCCTAGATAGCCTCCTGTCTGGAAATCATTTAAACAGTATCCAAACACAGAGCTCAGTTTTGATTGCTCAGGGCTGAATGAAATCAACAGCAATCAAGAAAGAAGTTTCATTTCAGATAACGAGGCATGTACATCTTCACTAGGAAACCACCTCATAAGCAATCAATTTTTGTAGGCCATTGTGAGGCTGCTTAAGACACCATTTCCCTAACTGAATCTATCTCTCGCCATCACCAGCTCACGAGAACTAGGATTTTTCTGATTACCGAGAACAGAAAAAAGTCAAAGGTTTTCCATTCCCAGACTAAGAAGTGCCAAGCAGACTGATACTAAAAGATGGTGGTAGTAGAAAACGGACACCGACCCTCTGTCTAACACAGCCAAAGGCGCCACTTCTCTGTGGCACTACCAGGCACTACTCTGTGGCTTTCAATTCTACTGGGCCAAGTCTGATAGAGCACCTCCATGGGAATGGCAGAATCACAGGGAACCAGAAAGAGAAAATACTAGCACAAACTCCTCAGTGAGCTAAGAAAGGTGAGAAAGGAGCTCAGGAAAAGAGACCATCTAATATGTTGCAACACAATATTGTCATATACACGTGTTTGTCACACAGACACACATGAACCCCTGCATCTATCCCTCTCCAACTCCTAAATTTAGAGAGATGCAAAGTCCACTGAATTGACCACAGTGACAACACTTTTAGAACAACATCTGTAAGGCTCCATACTACAAAGAAAGAAAACAGATAAGGCAATTGCATAAGAAATTCAAATTCTCAGAGAACACTCTCCTGATACTGCGGGAAAGCTCACAAATCAAAGTTCTCAGGAACAATCTGGTGATTTTCACATATAACCTAGGTCCTCTAGGCACGGCAGCACCTCCTACTCCACTCATTAGTCATCGCTCACCCAAAAGTTTTCAGGGTAGTCCCGGAGATTCAGCAACTTCTGCATGACCGTTTTCCGATCTTCTTCCCATTTACGCTTGCAAAAGACTATCTCCAGGAAATACCACATCCAGCCAATGACAGGCATGTAGGAGAGCTCCTTCTTTGCGAGCACTTTAGAACTCTGCAAGACAGACCAGAAGAAATAAAACAAAATCAGACTGTTTACCCAGTGCTGTGTGAACATCTAACACATGCATAGTTGATTCCTGTGGAGCAGTCCCAGTTTTAACACCAATGCAAAAGCAAACCAAGAAAAGATTTCCTCGTATGCCAGAACAGTAGAATCTGATCCCAGATATCTGCAAAAAAGACGACTTCCAGAATTAAAACAACAATAACAAAAAATTACCCCAGCCAAACCCTGAAATCAAAAACACAAGCCAACTTCCTTCAAACATGGAGGATTTAATGCAAAAGACCCAATGAACCACCACATAAAGCAAAGTTCTCCCTTCAAGCAGACCCTGGGCAGCGGCAACTCGAGTCTCTTTACGATATCTTGCAGCTATGCTTCTTCCCAAAGCTGAGGCACCTCACCGTGATGAGAAAGTTATTCTGAACCTGATTCACAGAGCCACTGCCACACAATAGCATACTGCTGCATACACCTGTATCACACACGCTTTATCAAAGCTACAAAAGCAGTAAAAACACTTTATTAGTGTTTAGATATATCTTGTGGAAGGGGTAGGGTACTCTTACACTAGTGAATTTCTCTTCAGAGTATGATTCTGGAGTAAAAAAAGTACACGTCCTGTCTCACAGGTGAGAGGCAGACACTGAAGTGATTTGTCTACACTCTCCCCCAGAAGTCTACAGCATATCAAACACTCACCAAGTTTCAAATCCTAATCCAGAACTTAATTCCATGCTTATTTGCAAGTGACATCCCACTGAGATGAAGAATTGATTCTACCTACTCATTTCCTGTCTTCCAAAGCAGTCCACTTCGGTGAGCTCTCTTACACTTTACCTCATTATTTACTGACTGACTTTGTTATTTAATGACCAAAATGGTACGTGTGTGTGTGTGTGTGTAAAAAACGTTGCTTCAGCACTTGCTGAAAAACAGTGACATTTTCTAGAGATAGATGGAACAATGATGGTCTAGTTTGCATTTGCAACTAGATTGCAATGCATCTAGTTTGCATTGCAACTGTCTAGTTGAGAGCCTATGGGTAAGGATTAAAGGGCAGGCTAACATGGGTGACACTGTTGTGGGGGTTTACTACAGGCCACCTGATCAGGAGGAAGTCATCGATGAGGCCTTCTACAGACAGCTGGAAGAAGCCTCACGATCACAGGCCCTGGTTCTCATGGGAGACTTCAACCACCCTGACATCTGTTGGGAAGACAGCACAGCTAGGCACAAACAGTCAAAGAGGTTCCTGCAGAGCATTGATGATAATTTCTTGACCCAGGTGGTGGAGACGCCAACGAGGAGAGGTGCAATGCTAGACCTTGTACTAACGAACAAAGAAGGTCTAGTTGGAGAGGTGAAGGTTGGGGGCAGCCTTGGCTGCAGTGACCATGAGATGGTGGAGTTCAGGATCCTGCGAGGAGGGAGCAGGGCAATGAGTAGGATTGCAACGCTGGACTTCAGGAGAGCTGACTTTGGCCTCTTCGGGGACCTACTTAGGGGAATCTCCTGGGGTAGGGCCCTAGAAGGAAGAGGGGTCCAAGAGAGCTGGTTAATATTCAAGCGTCACTTCCTCCAGGCTCAGGATCAGTGCATCCCTCTGAGGAAGAAGTTCAGCAAAGCGGGCAGGAGACCTGCATGGATGAGCAAGGAACTCCTGGCCAAACTCCAGCAGAAGAAGGAAGTGTACAGAATGTGGAAAAGGGGACAGGCCACTTGGGAGGAATACAGGGACGTTGTCAGAGCGTGCAGGGATGCGACAAGGAAGGCTAAGGCCCAGTTGGAATTAAATCTGGCAAGGGATGTCAAGGACAACAAGAAGGCCTTCTTCAAATACATCAATAGCAAAAGGAAGACTAGGGAAAACGTGGGCCCGCTGCTGAAAGGGGCGGGTGCCCTGGTGACAAAGGATACAGAGAAGGCAGAGTTATTGAATGCCTTCTTTGCTTCTGTCTTCACTGCTAAGGCCAGTCCTGAGGAATTCCAGACCTTGGAGACAAGAGAGGAAGGCTGGAGAAAGGAAGACTCTCCCTTGGTTGAGGAGGATCGGGTTAGAGATCTTTTGTCCAAACTTGACATCCACAAATCCATGGGCCCCGATGGGATGCACCCACGAGTGCTGAGGGAGCTGGCGGATGTTATCGCTAGGCCTCTCTCCATCATCTTTGAAAGGTCCTGGAGATCAGGAGAGGTGCCTGAGGACTGGAAGAAAGCCAATGTCACGCCAGTCTTCAAAAAGGGCAAGAAGGAGGAGCCAGGAAACTACAGGCCTGTCAGCCTCACCTCCATCCCGGGAAAGGTGATGGAACAGCTCATCCTGGAGGTCATCACTAAGCATCTGGAGGACAAGAAGGTGATCAGGAGTAGTCAGCATGGATTCACCAAAGGGAAATCATGCTTGACCAATCTGATAGCCTTCTATGACAGAATGACTGGCTGGGTAGATGAGGGCAGAGCAGTGGATGTTGTCTTTCTGGACTTCAGCAAGGCTTTTGACACTGTCTCCCATCACATCCTCCTAGGTAAGCTCAGGAAGTGTGGGCTAGATGAGTGGACGGTGAGGTGGCTTGAGAACTGGCTGGATGGCCGAGCTCAGAGGGTTGTGGTGAATGGCGCAGAGTCAAGTTGGAGGCCTGTGGCTAGTGGTGTCCCCCAGGGGTCAGTCCTGGGCCCAGTCTTGTTCAATATATTCATCAATGACCTGGAGGAAGGGACAGAGTGCACCCTCAGCAAGTTGGCTGATGATACTAAACTGGGGGGAGAGGCTAACACACCAGAAGACTGTGCTGCCATTCAGAGGGACCTGGACAGGCTGGAGAGGTGGGCGGAGAGGAACCTCATGAAGTTCAACAAAGGCAAGTGCAAGGTCCTGCACCTAGGCAGGAATAATCCCATGCACCAGTACAGGCTGGGGACTGACCTGTTGGAAAGTAGCTCTGCCGAGAAGGACCTGGGAGTGCTGGTGGACAACAAGTTAAACATGAGCCAGCAGTGTGCCCTTGTGGCGAAGGGAGGTGATCCTGCCCCTCTACTCAGCCCTGGGGAGGCCTCACCTGGAGTACTGTGGCCAGTTGTGGGCTCCCCAGTACAAGAGAGACATGGCACTCCTGGAGAGACTCCAGCGGAGGGCCACGAAGATGATTAG